AATGGCCTGTCATATTACTGAAGCATCTTACCTGCAGGCTCTGAAGCACATTGAGGAAATCATTCATACCAGTGAGGTGTTGAACATCCTGGAAAATGGCCACTAGTAGAGTGGGAGTAATAGCGATAGATCGGGTAAGGACGACTCGAGCAAACCGGGACCATTTTAGGTTAAGAAAGCCCTGTAATATAAAACTCATTATGGTTACCCAAAGTATACTGGTAGATGCCATGGCTAGAACCCAGAGTATACAATAAGTTGCAAAGTGTTTGAAGCCTCATTGTCATTTATGTCTTTTGCAACACCGTGATCTCTGACTGAACACATCTGTCACATTAGAAAGTATTCTCTGCAACACAGCAAACAGAACCCAACACTGTCAATGCACCACATGCACTTGTTATTTTGGCCTACAATTGCCTTAAATTGGAAAAGGGCAGGTATGTCACCCAATGGTTTTGGTAATATTTATAGATCTGAAGATACCAGAATGTGACATATATAATCAGCTGGTTAATATTTTTTTATACAAAGAACACTCATGTTTTGGAGGGTTTTTTGGGTATTTATTGTATGTTTTGGGCAGACCTGTTGGTGCCTGGATATGATGGTGAGGCATGTATTCCCATATAATGCAAGTATGAAGCTATATAACTTTTTTCAATAATATGCGGTTTTTAAAGTACTGAAAAAATGATAAAGTTATTGTTTTTTTATAATATAACATATCAGACTCTTTAAATTCTCCAGTTTTGTGCATGTCAAATGAACGGGACCAAAAGAGTACCAGCTGGGTACTACTGCCAGGTTTTCAGGAGAAGGGATGCCTTACTAGCTCGAAGTGCAGCCTGGATTTTACACTTCCACCCCGCCGTGAGAAGACAGATTATATTTTTCCACTAGATTGGAAACGTTTGGAGGTGCGACACATCTATAAATACAGGATCTGCTGGAATTGGGAACTACTCGACACATAAACTCATAACCCGCTAGTGAACCTGTCTGAATTAAATATGTTTATATATGCATTGATATAAAATAACCATCATTAGCAACAATGGCTTTGTGAGGACCATACCCTCCCAAACCTTTGTGGCTTTTCGGATGCAGACTATAAACCAAGACCTGGAACAAGAGCAACCCATAGAACTATATGTTGGAGTGTGATAAATGACCCTCAAAAAGGTTTTCCCTCGCCTATTGCTCTTAAGGGTCATTTAGCAGTGACAAAAGATAGTCCATGATAACAATATGTACTGCTACTTCTCTGCTATCGTAGGAACAAAATAACTTTTATCCCATATCAGACAACTATATGTAAATATGTCAACTCATGGGTATGACATTATATAAGTTAGCAATGTGCAGGACTTTCCTCGTCTACTTAGTCTAGTGTTAGCAGAGATTGAGAGGAACACATTTAAAATATATATGTATAAGCCTAAAAACTAAAATTTAATCTGATGCAGATTACCAGTTCTTAGATGTAGTGACTGCATTACTTTTATTTATTTTTTTAGGCTTTTCCCATTCATTTTTACCTGGTCATGCTGCAAATAAAAGATTTCCTGACCCTTTGTGTCTACACTCATTTCACCACCGTATCTATGGAGAAAGTCATGGGTGTCGTACAGGCTGAACTTCAAACATGTCTGCTTCTGTTCATCTCCATGACACCGTGGATTAATAGGACTTTTTCCACTGTATCTATGTAGGAAAAACATGGTTAAACAGAGAAGTTTTTGTGTTTTTCTGCTCACAGGAAGTGACAAGGATACTGTATTTGTATCAATTGGTATTTTTTATACTTGCTAAAAATGGTGTTAGTCTGAAAAAAGAAAATAAATGAAGTCACCACATCTAAGGATTTATAGCCTGCAAAATATTAAATTTTAATGTTTGGGTTTAGATAAGCTTTCATTCTGGCTTTGCCGCACCCAAATTGACAAATATTTTCTCACTTTTAAAAAAACTTCTTCAAGGTTTATATATTTTACTGCAATTTTCTGAATGAAAACAAAAGTTACTAAAATCACAATCCAGAAAAAAAGCTAAAAATACAACCAATAAAAATGAGCAACATCCGAAGGCTTACCTCCATGACAAACTGACCAGAGTAGGTACCAGTCATTGTTGAACTTTGACCTGCAGCTAAGATGCCCACAGCCCAGATGTAGAGAGCCGGGGCCCCGAAATAGCATCCTAGGACCACTCCCTGGAAAAGAGTATGCATTACACATTTTCTTTCATGCTGAAAAACTAATTACAGATTTGTGAAGGAGGTGATAAAATGTTTACTTGATAAAATTAAAAACACAAATATAATAACAATACTAAAAAATATTTATTTCACCTCAGATTTTACAACCTAACATAACAGGAATACCCAACACATTACCAAAATGTAGCCTGCAGAAATGATGCCATGTGATCTAACTAGGGATGCACCGATACCACTTTTTTAAGGCCGAGTACCGATACTTTTTTCAAGTACTCGCCGATACCAATTACCGATACTTTTTCTTAAAGGGACAGGTCAAATTTTTTCTAAAGCAATACAAAATCATGATTTTAGGTCAGTTTCTTAATATTATGAAGAACATGAACACTCTGTAGTGTGGCACAGCTATATCCAATTCGGCATACCTGGCTTTATATTATAAGAACTTTATAATATAAAGCCAGGTATGCAGAATTGGATACAGCTGTGCCACACTATACAATAATACACTGTTCTGGACAGTGTTTTCCTATTTTCCCAAGAAAAAGAAGTGAGATGATCTGAGGGGATCAGTTCAAAGTACAGCTAGTAAGGAGGGTCGGAGAGTCAAAATAGGATACAAAATATTATACATTTATTATTTAAAATCTCATTGGACATACTTAATGCACCAGTTAACACCAACACCAGTTCAACATCTAAAATTGGTTATTGCAACAACCCATTCACTCATAAAAACACAGAAATGCACTCTGAGGATGAGCTGATCAGCATAATAAATGGTACCGGATTAAACTCAAAAATTTATTCCTCAAACATTTTTGAGTTTAATCCGGTACCATTTGGAGTATTTGCACGAGTACGAGTACTCATGCAAATACTCGGTATCGCCGCCGATACCGATGCTTGTATCGGTATCGGTGCATCCCTAGATCTAACAGAGCCAATCAAAGGCCTTGTTATAGATCGTCACAAGATTTCAGGAGCACAGTAACATAGTTTATCACTACCTGGCACTTTTTTTGATAAACATTCATAGGTATTTTTATTCCCATCCCATAATAAAATCATCTTAATAAAACAAGCTTATTAGCATATACACAAATAACTAAACTTACCCCTTTGTAAATGTCCACATTCAAAGTCTCATTGTTGTTTGGAAACAACATGGCACTCTGCCCGCCAATAGTCTTGTTGATGCACTCGTTCAGCTAAATAAGGAAAAGAACATTGTTTCTTTTTTGCCTTTTGCAGTAAAGAAAGTCATTATAAAGCAAAATCAAGTAGTAGAACAAAACAAAAACAAAAACTCACCGTAAAATCATTTTTTCAAGTTCACTGAAGGACACAGGAATCAAGAGACATGTGGGGTATACTGCCACTGACAGTTGGATTAGGACACTTGCAAACAAAAAGTAGTGACCATTTTGTTATGCAAGACTTCTGGTTCCTCCCTGATGGTTAATATACATCACTGCCTTTGCACTGTACAACTGGATGCTAATTGGGAGACCCACCATTCGAGATGTCCAGCATTGTAGACACGACCAAATTAAACAAATATCATGTTGGAATTTATTGTAATGATCTTCTAAAAGATCAGAAGAAAGGATTTCCCCAACTGCAGAGCTGGATTGCTGAGCCACCAGGCCAGGGACAACCTGGTCTTTGGGGTCAGGTGAATTGGTTTGTCCAGACACTGAACCAATTTGTCCCACAATGACAGGATGTTGAGTTGTCTGGAGTGAAAAATTATGACTTGTGTCCAGGATCAGACCCACATACTCTGAGGGAAGAGTAAGTTCCAATGCTGACTTCTGAAGGTTCAGAATCCAAGTGAGGCACTGTAAAAATAGAGACATGCAAGTATGCATCTTTAATGTCAACAAAGGCCAGACTTGGTGAATTCCACATGATGCTTTTGGAACCGAATGAAAACATCCAGGGTCTTGAGATCCAAGATGAGGCATATGCCTCTTTTGATCTTGTAACTGTGACAAGGATGAAATAAAATCCTTGAAACCTATCCAACTCACGAGAACTGGGGCTATAATCCCCTGTTCCACAAGACCCGAAGGAGCTATATGGAGGTCTGCTAATCTGAACAGTGACACTGGAAGTTTGGAAGACATGAAGCGAGGAAGAGGTTAAGAAAGGAACTCTAGCTTGCAGCCAATAAAGCTACCTGCCGTATCCAGGTATTTGAGATGCTGTCTATCCAAATGTCAGCAAAGGTTAACAGTTGTTCCCTCACTTTGGAAAGTGGGGGCATTCCTTTATGCTGAAGATTACTTGTCTGCAGGTTTGGGGGATTTATGGTCCCAGGGTTTGCAGTAAAACTGAGCTCCTGGCTTAGGTCTGGCCTTAGAGGCTGAAGCATGGAAATGGCAGGGAAAAAGGTTTTGGGGAGGGTATCCAGCAGTTTTACTACAGGTTCTTTACAAAGTGGAGCACACCCACAAGTTGTGTTTGAGCTTTTTTAAGAGGAGATACTTTCAGATCAACTGCAGGAACAGTCAATTTCTTTATAAAGGTCTAGACAAATGCGCACTGGACTGCAAAATGTTTGGGAGATGCATCAGTAGTTTTCCATTTAACAAATAGAACTTCTGAAAATAGTGTGTGCGTGAGAAATGTTTTAGTGGACTTAGGGCCTCTCAGGCACCATAAACTAATTGTAGCACTTGTAGAACCTACAGGCTGCACCACAAACCCTTAGTGTCATATTAGTAAGAGCTAAAATGGTCTCCCTAAGTCTGGGGGTCATGGTGGCTGCCTGCGACTCCTCAGTAACAACTTCATCTAGCATGGATATTTGAGACTCTCCTTCAGATAGGGCCTCCGCAACCAAAAGCTCAGAGGCCGCTAAGACCGCAGGCAGATCAGATTATGCTTCTGTACAATAAGGTGTTGAGGTACAACTATGTCCTCTGCAGTAAGAGTCAACAATTAACGTTGCAATTCATCCATAAAATCCTTCATAACAGAGGTAAAATCCTCCTTGGTTAAACCCAAGAAGTGGGTCACACTTGATGAAGACAGCATTAGACAGCATTACATTCTGCCAGTGTCAGGACCTTGGCACTGCAGTGCAGACTGCAGGTCACCCCGTACTGTTACCGCATCAAGAGCCAGAGAGACGCATTTCAAAGGGACTGCTCCTCTTATATTTGTGGTCTGACATGTTGCACCGCAAATGGAAGCAGCTTAGCGGACTATACCAGGTAAAAACCTTGGGTACTCATCAACTGGCTGCTGAGAGAAGATGATGTTGAAATGGTCAGAGGTGATCAGGTCACTGTAGGTGGCAGCAAGAACTAACCAAGGTGGAACTGTGTGCTCCTTGCAAATGGAAGCAGTGGTGGAAATATAATGGTGGAGACACTAATGGTGGAGAACAGAGCAGTGAGTGCACGTGTGTCACTCCCTACCTACTGATGCAGCACTCAATTCCTACGCGTTTTCTGCAGAGAACAGCTGCAAAAAGGGGGCGGAGGGGGGAAAAATGGTGCCCAATGGTTCTTATAAATGTAGAACTCCTCCTTGACCCACACTGAGTATTATTAAATGAGTCCGCAGGGACTGGGTCACACCAGAGGCTGTGCCATGGCTCTGGACCCGGAAAGTGCTCTGTGGCCAACCAACACAGTACACAGAGGCCTGGAAAGCTCCACAAGCAGACCCTGGTGTCTGAAGGTCACATTCCAGACAGACCCCCTCCCAACAATCGTCAAGCCCATCAAAGTCTGTGTACAGTCTCCAAAGCTGTTCCTGAGGATACACAGATCCAGGTAGCTGCATAAGAGAATAGCTCAAGCAGTGTGTAGAGAAGTCTTGATTGAACAAAAAAAAATTATATCGAGGAAAAAAAACGGCTAGTAAAAATCGTTAACATTTTCTTGCTAGATAGGACACTAGGAAAAAACGGAGGCATGCTGGGAGTGGGAGGAGTTACACCAGGTTTGTCACTTTGTGTGCCAGTGTCCAAATCCTCCTGTAGGCAGCAGCATGGCCCAAATGTCTCCAAATCCTGTGTCCCTCAATGAAGCAAAGAGAAAACTGGGTTACCAGGCTGAGAGAGAGAGAGTGACTTCATCCAAAGCTATATGGGTTAGGCCCAAGTGTAGACAAGTCCACCCCAAGCCCACAGTGTAATAAAGTAGCCAGAGTGCAGAACATTCACGCTTCTCCATGCAGCCCCGGCGCTTAGTCATGTGAGGTGCGATCACGTTTGATATCAACCAATTTTGAAGTAGCCCCAGATCACTATCCTATAGGGAGTGGTAAACCTTTCACAATTTCTATAAGGTTGTACAAATTATGAGTCCTGGTGTCACAAACCATCAGCTCTGAAAATTATGTTAATGTATCTGTATCTCGGATGTTACACCCCCTCTTTACCAGCTTCAGGACCTATATCCAATACACATTTTACACCCCAATTTCTACCACTCCCCAATATTTATTTACCAATCCTGGCCATCTCCAACCTCCCTCTGTTGTGTCTCTCCCATTTCATTCTCTTTGCTGCCGTTTATTATGGTGAAGTCTGGTAAACAACTGAATAGATTTTTTTTAAAACACAGCAAAAAATACACCTGTAGTAACTTATTGACTTACCACTTCTTCGTTGGTCTTATTATAGAAGGCCTGGGCAAACACTGCCACAACGAAGACATTGATGATGAAAGACAAAAAGAGGGCTAAAGTGGACTCGATAAAGAAGTATTTATTTGCTTCTCTTACTTCTTTTTTGTTGGCGCGGTTCACTTCCCTGGACTGGACAAAGCAAGACACATTTTTAGAGAAGACAAAGATAGAGCTAAAATTGTGGTATAAAAGATCAATGTACAAATACATAAAAATGCCTAAATATCTCAGAACCACAAAAATAGAATCTATAAATACCTTAACTAAAGCTGAATGCAAGTACATGTTATGAGGCATAATGACAGCTCCCACAATACCAACTGCCTGCTCAAGTTGAGGAGTCCCACAGTCAGCGCAGTAAGGAAAAAACATGCCTTTCAGAAGCTGGCCTTGGTCAGGACGAACTCGCACATACTAAAAGAGAGGAGACAACGTAAATAACAGCACTAACCAAAAGAGATATTGTACTGCAGTTACATATTAGGCTGCAATTTTGTGTTTTGGGAACAAACATACTAGCAAAGCAAAATGAATTCAACCTAGTAATAGAATGTATTCTTTACTGCTTCAGGAAAGTTACTAAAAGGTCCCCAACAACGAAAACGTTAAATAAACATTAATATAAAGGAAAGTTTCGTATGACAGTAGCAAAACTGAATATAGCATTGTTTAAGCTGACCACACGTTACATTCTGAGTGTGTAATCTCCTTCTCTGCATGCACATAGTGCCAATCTATCATAGAAATGTGCTGACATCTGGCTGCAGGAAGGTGCAAGTTGACAGATTAGAAAAGGAGCTCAGAAGCAGACAGTTGAATGAGGAGAAGGCCAGGAATGTAATGGTGGGTCATACCTATTTCGAATAATTCATACAAACAACCTACCTCATATCCAAATGTCACTGCCATGACTGTAATTAAGACAGCAAAAAATGCTTCCAGTTTCCGCAGCCCTATAGATAAAAACAAGAATACATGAATGTACAAGGTGAGACAATTACTGGGGTGGGAATGAGAAAAGATGCAACAGAACATGTACTTGAACCCAGGGGCGTATCTGTGTACGGGGGGGGGGGCGGCATTGCTGTCTTGCCTAGGGCAGCAGCATTTGTAAATACACCACTGCTTGAACCAAGTACCTTTATCACGGCATTTGAAAATACTTCACCTATTATATGTAAGGACACATTTGTAAGGGTAATATTTTGGATTCCCCTAATGTCACCTGTGGACCCCAAAAGAAGCTGATGAAGCAGAGATCTGCGAAAAAACGAGCACATATAAAAAACGAGCACATATAGACGATCGGCGGGCTATGGAGCCACCGATCGCCTATATGTGAAACACCCAGTAACGGGTGTTTGCATTGGTCGGGTCTTTTCTGCCCGTGCGTGCCCGCTAGGGGGCGCGCACGAGCAGAAAAAAAATGCTGTCTGGAGACGGCAACCCACCAATGCTGCAGTGCCGTCCGTCCGTTTTTTTACAACGGGCGGACGGCAAGTGGTTAAAGTGAACTTGTGAAGGTAGAACTATGCAAGCTGCCATTGCTGCATGTTAACAACTATGTGAGCTCTGGAGTCTTCCTGATTCTGGCCCCATTATGCAATGACTCTCTGACCTAGCAGGAGTACAGCGTTAACTGCATGCCTGTTCCAGGGCAGCGACTAAATGAATAGGGTAAATAGTAGAGATGCACTGATACCATTTTTTCAGGTACCGATACTTTTCTTCAAGTACTCGCCGATACCATTTACTGATACCTTCTTTTTAGTGTCATGTGACGTTTTTCTAAAACAATATAGACCAATGATTTTAGGACAGTGGTGAACTGCCAGGGCCCAGATGCAGCTGCAACCCTGGTAGTTCTGCACACTGACAGGGACTACAAACCTCAGCAATACATTATATAGCAATGCAAAATACCACCAGATATAGAGGACTACAAATTCTAGCAATATATTATACAGCAATGCAGAATAATATGAAGCTACATACTCTGTGTTGCTCCCCAGGGCTGCATGCAGGGTCTCCCCAGGGCTGCATGCAGGGTCTCACCAGGGCTGCATGCAGGGTCTCACCAGGGCTGCATGCAGGGTCTCACCAGGGCTGTGCGGGCGGCAGAAAGGAAGAGATGTGCGGCCGGACCGGTGCTGTAAACAGCCGCCGTGAGGTCCCTAGGAAGCACCGAACCTTATGGCAGCCGCTTTGGGTTTAAAAATTTAAAGCGCCGGTATCGGCGCTTAGTATCGAGGCATTTTCACGAGTACAGGTACTTGTGAAAATGCCCAGCATCGGCACCAATTTTGGTGCATCCCTAGTAAATAGAAGCAGGATACACATTCTTGAGGCTTGCACTTTTACAAAGAAGTCAGCAATGGTAACTCCCATATTGCTCTCCTCGCAGACTCACATTCAATATGTAATTACCATCACTAAGCCAGGCACAGTAATAGGGAAGTCAGAACACAGAATTTTGTAAACTACAGAAATAAATAAAAGTTTTCACTTACCATATTTATCCAGAAACAGGAAGAAAAAGGTGTCTACGATTGTAATCAACACTCCTCCCCACAATGGAATTCTAAAGACATTATAAAATATCAGGGTTCTGAGTTTCTTGCACACACATCTGAAGCATGCATTCAAAACACACAATGATATTTATACAGCACACCATAATCAAGTTTATAATAAGCATACTTTCCATGAATACAATGTGCATTTAGATTTTTGTATAGCTCCTTGAATAATAGTATCTCTATCTCTATGTGTGACAGCTTATAATGCCCACTGGTAAGTGGTGTCGACATCATGACGTCACCCCTGTGGTACTGAAAGCCAAGCTGGAGACAACGAGGCTGCAGGACACTGGGCATTGTCTAGGCAAAAATGTGCTGCAGCTTCAAAGATTTCAAATTGCCGCCTTTAAGAAAAGAAGCAATAAAAGAAAAGAAAACACTGGAGAGGGGACAAGACGACTGACAACTATTGCAATAAAATATTGCCGGTAACTGAATGCAGTCAATGAACTTATATACTGAATATGGTCATTATTTACTTTCTTCTTTGATTTCAAATGCCTCTCTTTATATTTATTTCCACATTTACATGCAGATCAAGCTGTCCAGCAAAAGTGACAGGGGTTGTCACAAACTATAACAATGTCAGATCTCCTTGAGCAGTTGCAGCCCCTGGCGTTGTTAAAGTTCGTCACCTTGTCAATTCTGCTGAATACACAGAATTTGTATATTATTCACAATCGTTGAGGCGGGCTTCAAATGCTTATACACTGAAGTGAGATTATTTGCTTCCTCAGCAACCTCAATGATTTTTGCTAATAAAGTTTGCAACAGAACTTAAAACAGATTGTATTCACCTAGTCTCTATATGCCTGTATATTTCTTCTACAGCACCACGAGTGCCCTTGAAACCCAGTACCTTGTATTATACAAAGTGACCTCATCTAAGAGTCTGTGCTTTGATCAACTTGGCATTCTCAAGCATGCAATTATATTCAAAAATCAAGAAAGAAACTTACATTCCGACAGACAGTAGATTGAGAGCAATAGCTGAACCAATGACTTCTTGCATATCAGATCCAATAATAGCCAGCTCCACCATTAGCCATAACATTATCCGGGGAACCTACCATACAAACAATAGTTTTTATTAGGTCAAATAAAATAAAATCCCTACAAAAAAATTAAATTAAAGGAAAACTCCGGGCAAAGTTTGTATTAACCCTTAACCCCCACCCCCGCAAGGGCTAACTGCTCGTTTTAGTCTAGGGAGGAAAATAAAGATTTACTCACCCGATCCGTGAGCCAGTCAACTTTGACAGCACTACGCTCAGCCTGTCTCCTCCCACTGCAGCGATGGTATGTCCCTCAGTGTCCTCATGTCCTATACACCGTAGGGGGAATTTATCAAAACTGGAGCAGAAGAATCTGGAGCAGCTTTTCTCTTCAGTTTGTTCATTTAAGCTTTGAAAATGAAAGAGAGAAGCTGATTGGTTACTATGAGCAGCTGCTCCAGATTATGTCTGCTCCAGTTTTTATAAATTCCCCTCCATGTATAGAATATGATGACTGAGGGACTTTAGACTGCTGCAGCAAAGGGGGAGCAGGGCTGGAAGGACCGATCCAATAGCAAGCCGGCTCTTAGACTGGCTCAGGTGAGTATAACTTTTTTCATTTTCCTCCCTAAACCAAAATGAGCAGTTAACCCTTGCTTTGCTGGGGTAGGGGCAATACAAATTTTGCCTGGAGTTTTTTTTTTTAAAGTGTATCTAAAGCTAAAAAAAAATGTTTTCGCTTTTGACACAGTGGGGAAGGTTTAGAACCCCTGTTAGATAGGTCCCCGAACTACGGAAAAGGGGATTTTTCCTCACTTTGGAGAAATTTGTTCTCACTACCTGTTGTGTCCCATTAGGGACAGAACGAAAAAAAAGCTTGACAGAGGCTTTAAACATTTCATACTCTATCAGAAAATAAAAAAAAGTTTTGGCTTTAGATACACAAAGTAATTTAAGAGCAATTCCAGCAATAAGTGTAGTCTTCTTCCTAGGAAGGGGTTTGCGGGCTGTGTTTGGCAGCCGCCTAAAAGAAAGCCCATAGGGAGAGGGTCTGCTCTTGCTACCTTTGGGAAACACTGATTTAAAGCATAAAGGTTTTCTTTGTGTTGATAATCCCAATGGTACAGTCAGTCTTCCTAACATTCTTCCATGAATTGAAATGCATGTCAATACAAATAAGATGTAAACAGAGTAGATTAGATAATCTAATTTGAGATCAAGACATACCTTTGGATACTGCCGATTGCACATTTCTGCTAAATGCAGACCAGTCACTACTCCCAACCTGGCAGCTAGGCGCTGGAGAAGGAGGCCTATAACCGTAGCAGTCAGAAGAACCCAGAGCAGCTGTGGAAATGGTACATATTGTTTAGAGAGTGATGTTCAAATGCATCATCAAGAAAAGAAACGTCTGTACACACATTCACAAATCCACAAGAAGCAATAAAAAGGCCTTTACTCTATTCAGTTATATGGCACCAACATATTCCATGAGGCCAGCTGACAGTTTTGTCTCAGGCAGTGACCTGCAAGACTGCCATTAAAAGATTCCCATCTTCTCTCAGCCTCAGCTGCCTCTTTGTAGAATAGCACAGGGTGCAGAATCAGTCTCGCTGTGCATTAAAACAAGTATAGACACAAAAGGCGGGGGCAAGGGGCTTATTATCAAAGGTGTGTGTATGAGAAGAGGGAGTAGCTGGAAGCACTTTTGTAGGTCCGTATGCCATACGTCCTTGGCAGCGAAAGGGTTAAACAAAGTAGGGTAAAATCTGCTGACTCAGTCATACCACAGTCATACATATAAGAGCCAATACTGGAAGCCAGTAACATATCAGTCTGTTTTAGGACTGGTTCATATTTTTGTCTTTTAAAATGCACGTTTCTTATGACTTCTATGAAGAGAGGGTAAACTGTATGAAAAAGACATGTATTGTTCCATTCATCGCTAAGTCTGGTGTGTTTTTCTCATAATGTAGTATGTCAGTTTAACCATAAGACACACATGGGGTCCAGCAGTTTCAGTTGTGTTGCGATGGAGGAAAAAACTGTACGGACACGGATGTCACAGCCGCGACATCCGCTCCATACCGTTCTGATCACAAGAGGGTCAGGATCCTCTCCTGATCAACCAGTGTGAAAGGGGCATAAGGGCTGGGTCACACATTTGCCTTTTTTAATGGATGCATTTTTACACAATGTTTTCCAACATTTTAATGTTTTTTTCAAACATGTTTTTACATTAATTTTTGTATGCATTTTCTAGCGGTGCTAAAATGCATGTATTGCATGTATTCGTATTAGTCTCCAAGTGTATTCAAGAAAAAAAAAAATCACACTTAAAGAAAATGCAGACATGTGAGCAATACCATTTATTATTTACTGATTATATACTTACTATATACTGACATGCATATTGTGTGCAGTTATACCATAAAAAGTCTGATTGGGGCCTTAATATTGTAGAAACAGAGTCGTGTTCAGTTCCTTAGCCAAGTGCTAAGTAGCTGCCCTGCAGCAGCTTCACTGAACGCTTTGGCTGCACAGTTCTAAGTAAAATGGCAGAGGATTCAGTGTTAAAGCGGATCTTTACCCATATCTTTAAAAAAAAAAAAAAATACACCTTTGGAAATGTTTAGTAATGACAATCTACAAACACATACTTCTAGATAATTGCCAGCTTTGTATTCTTTGCATACATTCTTTCTCTTTTCTTCCTCAGTCTTCTCACAGTGGCCATGTTTACTAAGGGCAGGTTACTAGATCTCCTTTTACTTCCGGGAACTCTGGCACATGTGACTAGATATGTGACTAGGACAGTGACCATGCACATCATCTCAGGGGAAGAAAATGCCTTTCCCTGAGATCTCCTGAGATTACAGATGAGATTTCCCAGCAATGCTCTGCTGATGACAAGGCAATCCCAGTGTGCATTGCTTTGGAATTATTATTAATCATCATACATAGAGGGATGTATTGGTAGAATTTGATTTTTGCGTGTAAAGGTCCGCTTTAAACTCTGCCATTAGTGTAATTTCTACTATTTTACAGGGGGAAAATAGAGAGCCACGGCACATTGGATGTGGCTATGAATTAAATGTATGTTTCATTATCTGAGGAAGAGATAGAAACGAAAATATTCACATGGTTCCAACAATAAGGCTCCTTTCACATGGGCGGTCCGATCGGGTCCGCTTGTCAGTTTATCAGATGGACTCAATTTGATCCCCAATGCAAGTCTATAGGCAGCCGTGTGTAAACGGATGAGCGTTTGTTTACACCCGGTTGACCCCCGGCTCCACAAGGTCCAAAAAAAACAGACGGAACAGTGTAACGTTTCAATGGATCAGATCGTGCCAGATCAGGGGTAATCCGATGTAATGGACACGTCTGTTTACATCAGATTCCCCATAGACACACATGGGGTCCGGCAGTTTCAGGTTTTTTTTCCATTGCAAGATGGAGGAAAAAACTGTACAGACACGGATGTCACAGCGGTGACATTCAATCTGTACTGCTGTGATGAGGATAGGATCTGTGCACGGATCCCTTCAAGATCGGACCATGTGAAACGGGGTCTTAGGCTTTGCCAGTTCAGTCAAGGTTCACAGATACAAAAAACTGATAAAAAATGAATCCGTTTACATCTGTTGTCAGTTCAGTTTACATGTGTGTTTTGGGCCTTTTGTTATTATAGTATGGTAAATTCCCATGATTCTTTGCTTTCCCCCAGCAAGCATTGAGCGTGCCATGCTGCATTACGACATCAGTCCCAAAAACGGACGTAACCTGAACGGATGCAATCTGATGATCAGGTTACATCAGTCCAGGTCAGTCAAAACGGAGAGCTGATGCATCTCAAATTGCGGACCTCAACTGACGCAGATGTGAACTGGTAATCATCAGTTTTCATCCGCACTGCTATAGAGATGCATTGTTGTCCATTTTTCATCTGCAAAGGGAGGGTTGGAAAGCTGACAACCTGAACGCTCATGTAAAAGGGGCCTTAGGTCACCAGCCCACCGTTGCAATAAACAAGTATTTTGAACAAACTGTGTCATTATTCAGACACAGTTTTTCGTTCACACTCGCCCACCAATAAATTATAGGTTTCCACATTAAATTGTGATTTGCGCCATCGGGGCTACTACTATGCTGACGTCACACTCAGCGCTCTGCAGCCACATTCACTTCCCCTGCCAGTGCTAAGTTAGCAGTGCTGAGCTCTGACTTGCAGCACAGCGTTCAGCAGCAGTTTGCTAACTCAGCACTTGCAGCGGCTAAGCGACTGAACGCTCCTCAGGAGTACCAGGAAGAAAGCCATGGACACATGGGAAAAACACTCAAACGCTATCCAGAGTCCAATATTTGTAGTCAAAACTATACATTCTAGCTTAATACTGTGGAACGTTTTTTATAACGTATGCTCTATATTTTGTATAACACCAATCAATCATTCTTAAACATTCATGGACAGGTATCATTTTCTTACCTTGAAACCAGCAACAGAGCCAGACTGCAAGTCCGATTCAATGTTTCCTGGGTCTAGATAGGCAATGCTCATTAAGAAGCCAGGTCCAGTAAAGGCCCAAAGTTTACGGAAACTGAACCATTGCTGCAATGAAAACATTACTATGTAACAATGATATATCTAAAGATAATTGCCATATTCCATAAATAAAATAAAGAAAAAAATAAACGGTAGCAACAAACAGAAGACCACATATGTGATGACATGGGATTTTTGTAAAGTGACGTAGTGATTGGCATTAGGGTGCTTTCAGTGCACAAATAAAAAGAAAAGGTAAATACAGCTTAAATGGGGATTAACCTTTAACCCCTTCGTGACGGGAGACGTACACTGTACGTCCAGCCACAAAGGGACCAAATGACTCGTCACGTACACTGTACGTGACGAGTTATTTGCTGCACTAGAAGGCTGCTAACCGCTGAGAATCAGCGGTTACCTTTCAGTAATAGATGTCTAACTATCTAGAGATCCATTACTGAAAGGGTTAACCTTTTTCAGACACCCGATACCTTAATATCGGGTGTCTGAGAGTCACAGCAAAGCGGACACACATGTCGGCTTTTGCCGGCATTCTGACAGCTCGTATAGATCGAGAGATATCTCTCTCAAGCTATACTGGCTTTTTTTTTTTTTATCTTTTGACTTTCAAGAATAGATACAAAATGTTATGTATTAGACACATAATGTATCTATTCTTGAAAGTAGAATGTTTAAGTTTTCTGAAACATTCACTGACAGCTGAATCCTGAACTGCTGCAGGATCAGTGTCACTAACTTATTATCGGCTGTTCTGAAGTTTGAAGCAGCCTGATAATAAAAAAAAATGTATTAATTTATCAAGCAGTAATAGTGAGATTAATTCACAATGACTGCCTGATATAATTAAATAAATAAAATTTGTCAGTATAAAAAAAGTGAAAAGTGTAAATAAATTAAAAAAAATAGTGAAAAGTGTAAAAAAATTAAAAATAAGGGACAAATAAATGAATGTATGTATTGCATTTTTTTTTAGCTGTGCTGGTTTTGTTAAAAAAAAATACTACAAATCAAAACTGGGAAAAAAAGTTTTTTTTTACGTTTTTTCCTCTTTTTTTAATTTGTATTTGTCCTAAGTGAGGCGTTAGACACACATATGTGATATAAATATATAGCCCTATCTGTCCTCTAAAAAACAATATATAATATGTGTGGGTGCACTTTGTAAGAAAGTATATTACTGACGTGGAAGAATCACACAGCAAAAATGTCAAAAGTGTGTCAGTCATTTACGAACAGAAACCAAAAACAAGCTCAGTCATGAAGGGGTTAATCAAGGTTTAAAGACCAGTTCTGGGTTCGGGAGCATTATCAGCTGTGACCAGTGCAGTTTACTTACACCTCCATCCTCTGGAATGGAGATTTTTTCATCAAAATAGCTTGTAAATGGTTCCCCCTCCACCACCGGCTCAAGGCTATCACTGAGATCTGGCTTAGACCCATGATCTTCTGATCCACTCTCTGTAAAACAAAATGGCAAATAATGATGTGACCAAATCGAAATGTTGCACAATATGGCTCAACTAAACAGGGGGCAACAGTCCAATAGTGTTGTTGCTGGAATCACACATAGTACATTTTAATATGCTATTCTATGACGACAGAGACAAGCCAGAGCCATGCTAGAATGTACGAGCCATTTAAATGAGAATTGCTGAACAATGGATGGACATAAAGTAGTTCTTTTCTGAGGGGCGAATAATTTATTTTTATTTTTTCATAGAAGCACTGCAACAGTTTTAGACAAGCTTTGTTTCTCCTTAAGTGCCATCCCAAAAAGCAATACCAATGCCCCACTGCTATGTTTTGTAAGCAGCTATACTTTGTATGAGGCAAAGGGCTATAATTAATAGCAACTCAACCAAATGAACAATAATTTGACCTGATCTCTAAAACACTGGCTGGAAGGGTTGTATCCCCAAATCCTACACATGGCCTCAGGATTTGTGTCTGTTATGGAGAAAACAAACATTTGATTTCTTAGATCTAATAAGTACTGTTCTGGGTCCTGGAGCTCAGAAGCTTTTCAAGCCTTGAATGGGTTTGAGCCTCCATCCGTAGGTTCCCATCTCACCTGTTAACCAGAGTTTACTTAGTCCAAGCTGTCCACAGGGCTTTATATATGCGAGCAGACTGATGGAGGCTCTCTGTGTTGTTGGGAACTTGCTGTTGGGTGAAAGGCTGAGTGCTGGCAGAACACTAAAAAGGTACATATGATGCGTACTTGTTTGGAGAACCCATTAGGGGGCACCCTGTTAGTCAAAGAATTGAGCAGATGTTCTGTTGGTTTTATGTTAGGGACTTCCTGTACAAAGCCCTCCTGCAATGAACAGAGTTTGTTTGCTGCCTTGCTGAATAAAAGTGTAGGACAAACCTGCTAGGACTGTTCCTGGGTGTCCCCGTATTGTACATCATTTACCACTGCCGCAACCAGTTTGCTAAATATATGAAAGCATTTTATCATTTAAGACAATGAAGGATGAATAGTGTATGGCAAGTGATACCGATGTTTTTATTTTAAACATTAATTGGAAAGAAGAAGTATGGAAGCTGAAATTGTTGATCCTTACCCCTCAAAATGCTAGCTGTCTTTCATATTCATTGTACTTTATGAGTCACCGACTCAGACCAAGAATTCAAGACAACCAGGCAACTAGCATTTTCAGGTGGTCAGCAGGGGCAGCGTGCACATCTCTTTGTAGAGAGATCTACATGACAAGTACAGTGACAGTCCTGGAAACGTATGACTTGTAATCTGATTTGCAGCATGTCTTTGATGTTGTGACCCCCCCATTTTATCACATGTTCTTGATGTGTAGACCTCCCTCAAGCATCATTTGTACAAATTGCAATAACTAAAAATGACATCGTTTCACTATAAAAATGCACATCTTTACTCCAGGTTGATTTTAATCTGGTTTAAACACTACTCATGATCACCAGAGGGAGAAATTCACAACAGAACAAGTTTCTGCAAAACCTGTTGTACAGAATTGTACACATCAGTTCAGCAGTTAAATATTTGCCTCAGCAAAGGTTTGTTTCCTCAACTGTATCTAACCAATAAATATATATTAGAAATGATTGTGTATGAGGGATGTACTGTGACCAGAAATTACAGACATCCCAGATCTCTTTCACTAGTATGCTATACAGCATATTCTCACATTCTCACATAATTCATTCCCACAGCTACCACAGCTACCTCATGTATCATTTCCCACTCCTCTTTTAGATTGTAAGCCCTCAGGGGCAGGGCCCTCATTACCATCTTTTCCTGAATTGTATTGTAACTGTAATGTCTTCCTTATATTGTAAAGCGCTGCGCAAACTGTTGGTGCTATATAAATACTATGTAATAATAATAATAATAATAATACAGACTTAGGAGTCATCTTTTTTTCCTGATCAGAAATGCGTGTCAATCTTAAATATTTGGGTATATTATTTCTATCAAATAAGAATTCCGTGTAGTGTAACGTGTCATGCTGTAATTTTGTTTCCAATAAAGCCATCATGATTCTACACGAAAGAGAACTAAAAGCATGCAGACAAATATAGCAGTTGGCTCTTCAGGCACATTTGCAATGCAGACGGCACCCCTCCCTGCTTAGCACTCTGCATTCTGCTCTCCATTGATAACAATACTCACCACTATAGGACACCTCCCAGACCTGCAGCAAGTCAGCCATATCACTATCATCCAGCAAGCTTTCTTAGCCTCCTTACCAGACACTAAAGCCTGTGTGATAAAGATCAGCACTCTGTACTGTTTCTCAGAAATAGTGTGCAGTGCTCTCTCTAGGGTATAAGGATGATGTTTGTATGGATTAAGGAATTAAAATTCTAATTTAATACATAATCACAATAGAAAGAACACTATGTAAAACCACTGAACTAGCTGTACCTACACAGCTATATGAAGGTTAGTATCACAGTACCCAGTAGTCAATGACATGAAGGATTTTTGTGCTGGAGCTTACCATCTAATTGTCTGTAATTCTGGTCTGACATGGTAGCAGTTTTAACAGGTGACTCGCCTTCTTTTGGATAGGCCACATTAACTGAAAAAAAAGAAAGAGCACAATGTAAGACAAAGACAAACATTTCCATTTTTATTGTTTGCACCATGTAAAACAAGGTCTCCCAGAAGCTTACTGCATTCGCCACACATCAAAGAGGGCCTGTGCTGAGACAAAGGCCATCACTGCTGCCATTCTAAAAGTGCTAGTTACCCGAAGAGTTTTCAGTTGCTTAGCCGCTGCAAGTGCTGAGTTAGCAAATCGACGCTGAACGCTGTGCTACAAGTCAGTGCTCAGCACTGCTAACGTAGCACTCGCAGCGGAAGTAAATGTGGATGCAGAGCGCTGAGTGTGACAGAGAGGTGGGGACAGAGCATCAGCAATTGAGGAAATCACAATTCAGTGAGGGAACCAACAATTTAATGTTTTGGTGGACGAGCACACCAAATATTCCTTGGAAAATGGTATTTCTAAGCAAAAAACATTCAGGGTTGCAACCAACTAATCGATTAATCGATAATGAGAATAGTTGTCAACTATTGGATCCCCTAGCTCTCTCCTCCACGCTGGGAGAAAGGCACAGCAGGCAGTGGGCGGGTGCAGTAGCCAGCCTGCTATTAGTTATTGCATCAGCCCTCTACCTGCTATAATTACATTCAGCTGCCGTCTGCGGAATATTGCCACTGGCAGCTGTCATTCCCTGGCTGAAGTTATTCAAGAGCCATGTGCTTACAATACAGTAAAAAAAAAAAAAGATAAAAATGTGGGAAAAAAGTCCTTTTCCATTTCGGACTGACAAATTCTGCTGAGGGAGGTGCGTTGCAGTGCCATTCATTTTCAATGGCACCCCAAATGCGCCTCCCATCCGCAGTGTGATCGCCTGCACTGGAACGCACGGTACCGCAATGTTGTGCGTTCCAATGCAGTGCAAAATATTGTGCATGCAATTTGATTCTGAAGTAAACTTTATATTTGTAACACTGCATTTGTGTACTTTGTTTTAAATGAAGGATGATATTTAATTTTTTTATCCGATAAACCGAAAAAATTATCAGCCAACTAATCAATTATGAAAATAATCATTAGTTGCAGCCCTAAAAATATTATCCTCCGCCATTTTGCTTAGCACTGTGCAGCCGAACTGCTCAGTGAAGCTGCTGCAATGAAGTACTGCAGAACAGCTACTCAGCGCTTGGCTAAGAAATTGAACACGCCTGTGTATACCTGTGGCCTTTCTGAGCTACTAGTCTGCAACATAAATGGAGTGCAGTCAGAATTCCCATCTTGGGGTGAATGCCTTAAAATTTCAATTGAGCATCAGTGTAGCCCTGCTTGGGCTTTGCGGTCTACAGGGTAATCCTGGCAGGGCTTTAATTGTGCACACCTATCCTTACAGGAGTTTTAAGCCAGGATTTGCATTGTGGTATCTCACAACAACGCACAACAACACACATTAACCCACTACTGTATAGCACCTGTTTTGGTACTTTAGGAAGCTCATTTACATGTATGAACTTCCTTAATGGAACGCAGTAGATTTATCAAATCTTTATTTGAACCTCTTTCTCATTAAAAGACCAACGTTTACTTAGTTGTTTGCCTGGAATTCAGATTTCATTATCAATAGATAAACTCAGCATCACTCTTGTAGGACTTGCATGTGTTATATTCAGAATAACATGTCAAATTGGTAGAGAACTATAAAGCCATTCAGGCTCACCCTAGGGTAAGACGAATGCAGTAATCCTCTTATTCCACAATATCCTTTTCCTGTAATTGCAAGATGTTCATTTGTCGATATTTGTTAATTGTAAAGCTTTGTTATTACAAAATAAATACTTTCTCAGTATGAGCAAGCAGCATAAAAGTGCAAAGAAAAGCAATACAGCCTATAACAATTTCAATTAGAAAAAGTCAATTTGCACACAGATATTGCAAGACTCTGATAGCCACAGGCATGATGGGATTTATTTATTACAGGTATTTATATAGTGCCGACAATTTTACAAAGCGCTTTACATACAGAACATTCTCATCAGTCCCTGCCCTCAAGGAGTTTACAATCTAAACCTGGCCATACACCTATAAATGATCTGCAGATTTTCTATGGCCAGATGGAAAAAGTGCAACAGATTCATCCATCTACGCTAAACTGTGTGGATGGAGGAATCTCCCACTGGGCCAAGCTTCAGTATCCTGCTAGTCGGCCCCGCTGGCTGTCAAAACACCTGAGCAATCTGATTGGATGCCGGCATTGTTCAGGTGTTTTGAGAGCCAGCGGGGCTGACTAGCAAGATACTGAAGCTCGGCCCAGTGGGAGATTCCCCCTCCAGATAGTTTAGCGCAGATGGAGGTGTCTGTTGCAGTTTTTCCATCTGACCATAGAAAATCTGCAGATAATCTATAGGTGTATGGCCAGCTTTAGGTCCCTATTGCACACACATACAGGGCCAGTTTAGACAGGAGCCACCCAGCTCCTACCAGCATGTCTTTGTAGTGTGGGAGGAACCCAGAGTACCCGGAGGAAACCCACGCAAGCACGGGGAGAACATGCAAACTCCTTGCAGATAGTGACCTGATCAAGATTCGAACCAGGGACCCCAGTGCTGCAAGGTAAAAGTGCCAAACCACTAGGCTACTATTTATATTATATATGAGAAACACTGAGAAACCACTTATTTCCAACTGGATGCTGAGAGAAACACACACCATCAGATATTGACATATAGATGTCAGTTTTTCCCCATCATGTCCAAAAGACAGCGGAGGTAATTAGTAGCAGCAACAGGAATGAGAAATGTCTGCACCCCCCCCCCTCACCCCGAGATCTGATTAGCTGCTGACACAAACCTTCAACCTTCAGATTCCAGATGCAATTTCCACCATAGCATGAAAAAAAATGAAAGGTCATGAACATCTGCATCCTTCTGGCATGCATGCATATATGTACAGGTATAGATTTCCAGAATAGTACCCTGGGGGTAGCGGGGAAAAAAGGACTTTATAGAGAAATGATCCTATTAAACTCAAAACACGAGAACCGGAAATTATTGTACTAACAATAGTGTATCCATTTATCTTCTTTGTAGCTAATAGTGCTTTGTTTCTTCAAGGCTGAATCTTTTTTTTAAATTTATTTGGGTGTTGTAAGAAAGAAAAAAAAAAGAGCTGCAGTACTCTCTTTTCCCCATAAGATGCCCTCAGTCTTCTGGGTTGAATGATGCCCAGTGTCAATTAACCCAGAAGACTGAGAGCATACTGTTAGTACAGAGCATCACCAGAGCCAATGAGTGGTACAGACATTATGGCACTCTGCATTATTAAGGACCGCTCCCGCTTGTAGAAGAGGACCAAGTGCATCATGTGACCATCCTGAAGACAATGGAAAAGTAAACAAAAATACTCAAAAAAACACACTAGGTCTTATTTTTGGGGTAGGTCTTATTTCTTTTTTTTCTTATGTATAGGGTGATCAGGGCAATCAGGGGTGCCGTACCTTTCCAAGAGCAATTTGGTAACCAGAATGAGCGGAGCGCACTTGCACTATCGATTCCTCACAGGCGGGAGTGCATTTGGTATCACTCCGCCTGTGACAGGAGCTGGCGCTATAGAGGAGGCATTGGCTTATGCAGCTCCCTGCGCTGCTGCCTCGCTTCCTCTAGCGCTGGCTTCATTGGCACGCTGATTCTCTCCCGCGGCTCTTCAAGTTCCCCCTTATGCCACCATCGGCCCTGGGAATGGTCACAACTAGGTCTTATTTTCGGGATAGGTCTTATATTTTAGCAATTCCCAAAAATAATTTTGGGGTAGGTCTTATTTTCGGGGAAACAGGGTATTGTATGCGTATGTTATATTTGACTCAATCAGAAACACTAGTCTCTTTGCAAGAATATATGTTCCAGATTTTACTGACTAAAAGATAACAATGATTACGGTAGTTTTGCTTTCTATGCTCCCAAATTGCCCCTTTTGCTCCATGGTAAATACTCTCCAAGACTGCACCTGTCGGATGTAACTCATTAATGCCTGTAGGTGTTGAACCTCGATTACATTTACTGCAATAAAATGGAAGTTCCTTCTCTCCTATTTAAATGCCCTGTAATGTGTGTTGGGCCTATAATGAAAACTTCTGCTCATCATTCTTTCAACCTCTTCACAAGTCAGTTCAGGTGAGAAGGAGATGGGAGGATAAATAGCTGCCCCCCTCAGTGTTAATGGCAAAGGATAAGGTGCCCTGTTTCTAAAGTAGAAGCAGCACTAAATGGGCAAAAAACAGGTTGTCAATGAAATGTTCCAGATTTGAAAAGACGAGGGGCGGGCGGTATGAAAGTGAGCAGAGCCTCTGGTCTTAAACAAAGAGGTCACTGTATGAAGACATGTGATCACTCTAAATTCCTCTCACACATGACGCTGCAAAGAAGTCAGAAAATATGTGTTAAATAATTGCATGGGTGCAAAATACCTTAGATTATCAGAGACCGAATAAAAACTAGCATATGGTTGGGAAAAAAAGCTCTAATCTCCATATACATTTGCTATCTCATCAATGTATTTTACCTACAAAATATCAGCTTCAGCATTATTCAGAGAATGGGCCTAAAGCCTACTTAGCCATGTTCTAGCTACTCCGTTATCCTTGCAAGCATTACAAGTCCAACTACTTGTGAACATTTCACAGGAAAGGGGCACAGTTTCCATCAGCTGGTGAACATGTCATAAGATTTTAGGATCTGGGCTGATTCACCTTTCAGCTTAAACAGAATATGACCTACAAAGTATGTGCAAAGTGCAGAGCTCACAAATTTGACACGAGCCACTGTCTAGATTCCTGAACCAGCTGCGGGATCAGAAAATGGATGTCTCGGCTTTGTGATAATGGAACAATGCAAAATAGAAATAACGGTAAAAGAAAACAAAATGTTTGATATAGTCCTTTGAAAGAATGCTAAATACACAAGAGGAAAATGGAAATAGCAACATCTAGAAATAGTGTGCGTGTGTTTACACCTTAAGGCAAACCTGAGCTTGGACCAGTGAAAATG